AGCTAACGTGCCCTGAATACAAGGGAATACAGGTGTGCAATATCAGTCCATGTGTTTGGCAAGCAGTTTGAAGCATCAATATTAATTAGGCCAGATTTAAATGCTGCTTTTACCTAGTCAGTGCAGTGTAAGCTTGCCAACTCTGAGTTGGGAAATTCCTGGAGATTTTGGGATAAAGTCTTAAGAAGGCTAGGTTTGGTGAGGGGAGAAACCTTAGTGGGGTTTAATGCCAGAGTCCACTCTCCCAAGTATTAGTTTTCTCCAGGAGAATGATGTCTGTAGTCTGAATATCAATTATAATCCTGACAGAGTTCTAGGCCCCATCTGGAGGTTGGTGGGAGAACGAGTTCTTTATCTGTAGGTCCCTGAGATCAGTCCCTGAGATCAGTGGTTTGAATTCGAAGTTAGGGGCATGGCCTGGCAAGCTGCAGATATTGCACTAAACCCCAGGGTCCTTCAGCTGAAGAACGTTTAGGTCTAGGTGTGTTTATGACTGCTCATTGAACTGATTTGTACTTTGTATGTTTTTAATTCTGTTGTAAATTGACAACAACAACAACAACAACAACAATAATAATCCTGACAGAACCCAAACCCTTCCCAGCTGTGAGGACTGAGGGACATATGGGAATTCAGAAAGTCACTCAAAAGGAAAATATATGATTACAAATGGGATTTTGATAGTCTTTGCGCTATGTGGCATCTGTCACATGTGTAGTGAGGGCTTCAGTCTGTGGTAAGAATTACTGGGATATCATTAGGTGTGTTGTATCCAGAAGGCCAGGCATGAAGATCAGGACGCAACACACTTTTAAACAGAAGAAGAGGTTAAGATAACAACAAGAGGGTTCTTCTCTGCACATAGGTACAACAACTCTCTCATTTTCCTTAGCTTCCTTTTTGTCGTTTTCCACAGTGAATTCTGGAGTGGATCACAGCATGTGTTAAATCCAGAAATACTGGTCTGGTTGAAGGAATGGAGTTGTTAGAAATGCCAAATCCAGCACAGTTCCACCTGGCTTCATGTGGAATCGATAGGCTTGAGACAATTCAAGTAGTAAAACCACCTTTTCAGTTATGACTCACTGTGGTTACCAGCTTTCTTTCTCCATTGCTAAGTATGGAAATGTTAATGCATAATTTTTGTGTAATCTTAAAACCAACTGATTTTCCCGTTAGCCATTGACCTTAGTTTGTACCTAAAGTTAAAAAGTTACATGTTGATTTCTTCTGAATCCTATGTTCAGCTTCTGAAAGTAAGAAAGGTCATTTTTTTAATTAGTTCTTCTTCTGAAGAAAGTACAGTTTGTAGCTTTTCTATTTGAGATGGGGTGGGAAAGATTAAAAGCATGGCGAATGTAGGACTAAGTCATTAAAGCAAGGGTGTCGAACTCATTTCTTATGAGGGATGGATTTGACATAAGATTTGACTTTGTCAGGCTGGGCCACGTGTGTCATAAAATGTAATGCCAGGTAGCAGGGTTATAAACTTTATAAAGGACACAGAAAAACACAATTAAAGATATTATAGCAGTTATTCCATTGGAGCCCCACATTAGGGGCTGGTATTTCTCTGCAAAACTGAAATTCCTTGAGTTTGTTGAACTCTATATTTTAACTGTGGTTAGTCCCAACCCCCCCCCCCGAAATATAAACTACAAATATAAATGGTCTTAGCCTAGGACCCAGGGGAAGAACATGAAACAGCTGAGCATTGCAAGCTTCTCCTCCCCCTCCCCCAGTCTACTCAGAGTGGCAGTGGCTCTCCAGGGTCTCAGGGCTTTTGTGTTTTTTTTTTACAGGGTGGTTTGAAATAATAATTTTGGTTGCCCTCTTCAGCACTTGTTCTGCTATTTTCCATTGGAACTCCACATTAGGAGGGTGTGTATGTGTGTGTGTGTGTGTGAAAACTAGTATTTCTCTGCAAAACTGGAGTCTCTTGAGTTTGCAGAACTCTATTTTTTAACCCTGACTGGTCCAAACCCTCCCCCTCCCAACCCTGAAAATGTGCCTGCCTAACCTGGAAAGGTGGGAGAATTATGGGATTTTACAAAGCCAGTTTTAAAATAAAAAAGAAGCACAAGGATCACAGCAGAAGGACACTCCCCCCAGCTCCTACCTGTGACGAGGACTACAGAGTCTTAGAGCCATGGCTCGGAAGTTTGGCAGCCCTGCCCTGTGCTTCCTGCTTTGAGACAGCCCCATCTTCTGCTCTTTATACTCCCACACAGCTTAAGCTGAGAACAGCAAGGCTGGGCAGGGGAAGGGGGAGAGAAGAGAGCCCCACTCCTGGGCTGGATTAAAGGGCTGGGCAGGCCAGTTCCGGCCCATGGGCCACAGGTTTGACACCCTGCATTAAAGTATTTTCACAACTTCCTAAACAATTTACAATAAAAGTAATATCTGTTAAATAACTGAGAGAGAATCTTCAAACCCTGGTATTTTTTAAAAAGTATTTTTACATGGAAAAGAATAAATCATTGGTTCTTAGTGGCTTTGCTACAACCCAAACAATGACACTTCTGCAAACTTGAGCAGACCCCATTTAAAAGTTCATCTGTTGAAGGTTTGAAGCCCTTTATAGCTACTGTGAGGTTTTTACCGTGAAAAGAGTTGTGTCTCCCCCCCCCCCTTTTAGGGCAAGCTGCCATTGGGGGACAGTAGTGAATCAAACATGTTCAAGTCAAGCATGTTTTCCTGAATGTGAAGAAGCCTAAATGTGGTTAAAATGGGGGACTGAATCTTTGTCTGGGATCCTGTGGTGGCTGACAGCCTGTTTATCAAACTACTTTTGTGGGAACCTGAATTTCCTCCTCAGTATTAACCTAGTAAAATGTTCATTTGAAAGTGTTCCCATGTGGTAAAATCCCAATTTCACATTCTGAGCTGGAGGCCAGCAAAATTATCAGCAAGGGTCAAACGTCTGCTCTTTATTATGATCTAGTTACACCCAAGTAATGTATATTAAGAATATTATCAATCATAATATTGCTGTGAGGTAAAAAAAAAAGTAATCACAAAGCAGGTCAGGCACTCTTAATTGATTAAATCTGCATAAATGTATACGTGAATCAGAAAATCAATCATTCTGAAGGAAAACACACAGTTTCCTTGTGTTTTATGTGATGCAGGCATGTGTCACAACAGGAAATGTCTTAAAAATACACCCACTCTTATAGGGGAAGTTGACTAGCAGAGGAGGCTGCTTCTTTAACAGAGGTTCACTATACAAAAATCAACATGGGAAACTTTTCAAAGTGTAGAGCTCAGTGTTATCACCTGCTAACAGCTTCAGATCAAACTACTGCTAAAGGGACAGCTGCCGGGATGCTTCAAAAGTTGGCAGAGAGAAGGGAAAATGCCTTTTTAAGATGGCACTTACCCACCATTAAAAATAGTTGGCTTAAAAAAACCTGTCCAATTTATTCAGGGCACCTTTTTAATTAATCAAAAGGTTTTTAATACAGTAATCTAACCAATTAATTAGCAAAACATGACACCCTTCTATCCTTCATAGTGGTGACTTTCATGTGTGTTTAGGTAGAGGACTATCTGTGAGGGAAATTAGTTGCAAAATCCTGTTTAGTAATTAGTTTCGACAGAGTAGAAATGTGGCAGGTAAAAAAAGCCTGCTTATAAAACTTTGTTGTCCCTTCTCATTCATCTGTGCTGGCAACTGAAGGTAATAGATTTCACTGCTGGTTGATGAGTCCTGTCCTGAGGAGATTAAAGGTCATAATTTTATAATCTCTTATTCACATGTGAACCTTTCATAGAATATGATTGTTTTAAATGGAATTTATTATGTGAATAAATAAGTGGCTAAGTGAATCTCAAAATTTCAGTTATAGTCTGGGAAATGTACTCTTTTTGTTGCATATGTTGGGTTCTTTAAGAATTTATTACGTTGTTAACAATGCCACAACAATAAATTATGATTTCTGTTTAATTAAAAAGGTATGTGTTTATTCCAGATAGGGCACATTCTTCACCACTTAGGATTTAAATGGAAATATATTATTTTCAAAATTCTGTCTGTTGTGCATGTAGTCTCATGAGACTGTCCCGGACTATGGAACTTATTCTGAAACTGTCTTTCCTTCAAATAATGTATTTTGGCCAACAAAATTTTCTTCTAGGTTGTGCTTGTACATTTCTTCAGGTATCTGAGGAAATGTGTGTGCACACAAAAGCTTATACCTAGAATTAAACTTTGTTGGTCTTAAAGGTGCCACCGGACTCAAACTTTGTGCTGCTGCTTCAGACCAACGTGGCTGCCCACCTGAATGTATTTTAGCCAGCGTCTGAAAAGAAAACCACTAGAAAAGCCTATACATAATACAGTTTGGGAAATATGATGATTTGGGTTTTTTTAACTTGCTTTCTGGTAAGATTCAAGCATTTCTCTGTCACAGACTTGTAACAGGGAACTCTCCCTGAGTCCATCCCCATCTGATCCATAGAATCTCAAGAGTCATGACAGAAAATAATCTTTTAAATCTTTGAACTTCTTGTAAAAATTGGTTTTTAGCCTCCCCCCTCGAGTGTATCTATTCCCTTCCTTTGGACCTGCTTTCTAGGTTTTTGAGTGTTTTAAAATGCTCCCACAATCATGAGGACTAGAGACATAATTTTTAGAAGAAAAACTGGGGTTCTCAGGGTCTAATAAGCGATACAAATGGAGCACTGAAGTGACCTGTTCCCCTGGGGGTTTGCCATTTACCCTGTTCCATCTGACATATAAGACAACCTGAACTATCATAATTGTTATCTCAAAAAGTGACAGCCCCCTCCACCCCTTTTGTGTATTTTTTGTTGCTTGCCAGCTGTGGAAGACGTTAAACCCAGCAATTAACCCATATGTGACCTACCATATTCAACTGATTTCCAGGCAGGGACTGAGTAGTAACTCTAGCTGGTAATTTGAACCCTCCTGTATTTGTAATTATGATTTTTAGAGTGTAATGGCTGTACTAAATCCTTTTCCTTTTGCTCTGTAGCCGCTGTTGTGACAAGAAAAGCTGTGGCAACAGAAATGAGACTCCTTCAGATCCAGTGATAATTGACAGGTAAGGGTTGCTATTCTTTTCCTTGAATTTATTTCAGGTTTTGTTTATTTATTTATTTGTGCGCACCTCATTATAATGAGACACCTGCCCTGTGCTGCTAATGGGCAAAGGGTTATGTGGCTATGTGGGCGTAATACCGTTGTTCATATGGAATTAGTTGTGTGCTGTAAGGTTTTGATTCTTGTAGAAGGACCATTTGGTTTGTAGCTGTGAGCAGAGGCTCTGTGAAATGTTCAGATTGCAGTCTCTGATTCAGGCTCTTAAAGGGGATATTTTTCTCTCCAACTTTCCATGTCTCAATTCGCATGCTGTGCCTGGGAAGATTCAGGAATATAAAATAATAATAGTTTGTGATTTATGAAATGTGGTTGGATGCTTATAAATATTTAACTTTTTACTTTGAAAAATGTTTGAATCATTATCACTTTTTAGCTACAGTAGTTCCCTCGGATTCAATCTATCTAAATTGTATGGTTTGTTTTATTTTATTTATGCATAAAGAGATCTGCAAACTAAAGTCAACACACACACACCCCCCATCGCTTCCAGCTTGTTGTCTTTGGTTTGAGAACAATTTTGATTGTATTGTCAGTTGATTAATTCATTTTGCCTCTCTTAATTATTATGGTTTCTAAACTGATCCAAATTACTAATCTGACATGACCGAATAAATCACTATAGAACAATAAATTCACTGGAGTTGTTCTGTGCAATTTGCACTCGGCAGGCTTGCAAATTAGGTAACGCTGTAGCCAAATAGTCATTTTTACATTTTAATTATTGAAACTTGTCATACAGAAACATATGATAAACAGCTATAATGTTGCATTACTCTGTGAGTGTTAAGTGACCACGCAGAGCTGATAATGTCTACCATTAGCTAAGAGAAGCAATAATATGTCAGGGTGGGGTGGTATGAAAAACTGAATTTCAAAGGCAAGATTTCATGTAGATATTTGCTGTCTAAATTAATGTTTGCTTTCCTAAGTTTAGGGTCTGGTCTTTGTTGCATTGCACAAAAAGTATAGCGTGTTATGCTGGAGCAAAGTGGAGTTCTATTTCATGGTAAATTTCATATATATAAGCTTGTAACAGATACCTTAAAATGATTCTCAAGTTGTGTATATATTTTTGAACTATGTCTCATGCACACATTATAAAAGCACAGAGGAAACTAAAAGTCATAAGGAAAGCCACAACACTGTATTTAAAGTGTCTTGGACAGGGATGTTACATGAAAGGTGGTACTGTGAGTTGTAGTCTTGTGTTTTTGTTTTTGACAGGCAATTGGTAAAGATGTTTAAATGCTTAATGGCAGTTTGACAGAAACATTGGTGTCACTACCTATTCAGAGATTTGTTGGCTACAATTAACTGAAGTCATAAAATCTTAGAAGTTCTCTCTTGCATTTTGTTCTTTCTAAGAAAAAGCTCTGTTGCAGAAGAATAGATTACGCTTCCTAGTTATGGGTAACTCTGGACATATAATACCTTAGCTGATATAACTGGCATTTCAGAACATTGTGTTGAGATAGACTTCCATCCAGCTGAATTCAGCTTGTGAGACCGGACTACAATAAACCTTCCCTTGCTGCTACAGATTTTGAATGTGAACTGGTTAATCTTTCAAAATTCTTCCCTTGGTTTTAAGTTGTGACTTTGATACAGAAGGTTGATATGACTGTGGTTTGAATAACATTTGATTTTGACCTGTTCCTGTGGGTTGCAGTGGCATAAGAAATTTGACTCAGCAGTGCTGTAATTAGCCTTGCCTGTGTTTTTGAAACAGGATTGGGTTACCTGGATCGCATTAGTGTGGCTTCTATTGTTGCCGCTTAGCATCTGTCCCAGTAGGGTACTTAAAACCTTTTTCTTGGCCAGGGCTAGTTCAAACAATTTAGGCAAAATAAAATATGCGCTTTGTACATTTAGTGGATCTGGTGATGTTACTTGTGACATTTACCCTTCACATTTTTTTTCTTGGCTTGGGAAAGCATGAAGCAATCTGTATGGAGCCTGTGTCTTAAAACAGAATACTTTACAAATTGTTTTAACATTAAAAAGCCCTCACGAGCTGAAACATATGTTGAGTTGCACTCTGCTGTCATTCTTGCATGCATAAAATTGCAAGCTATTGTGCCAATTGATATGCAAAATAGTATTTAGCTTTTTTTTAATTTGCAAGTGATCATTTTTAGGACACAGTTGGTAAGAGGGAGGGGTTTTGTGAAAACATTTTCTTGTGCTTAACAGACTGATCAACCGTGCACTTAGTATGAATTAATTTTTGCATAGAATGGGCATCTTAAAAGCTGTACAGCAAGCAAGGGCCATGTTTATATTACAGACTTCTTTTGGCATAAGAATACCCATTGCTTTTCTACTTCCATTGAGTATGGTTATGGGAATGGGTAATACTTGTGGTGCATGTGTGTGTATGCGTGTCCATATTACTGTAAATGTCTCTAAGTTGGTAAATGAGAGCATTCGCATAGAGATGCTGACAATTCAGACAAATGTTGTAAATGTCCAAAATCTCATAGCAACACTGGTGAATCCTGGCAGCTTGCATAGTAATTGTCAGCCTTTACTGGTGCAGCAGTTTACAAAATACATGTGCAACCACTGAGTTGCATAACAAGCTCTGTTGCAAGCAGCCACCTCATTTATAACAGTCAGTTTGAACTGAAACCCATTTGGATTGTGGGACAGCACAGTCTGCACACTGAAGGAAGATTTAAGAAAATTACTTTGTATTTTACTTGTTTAGAGTTCTTTTGTTCGAAATATCAGTGACCTGAACAAATTTCCTGTACTCTAGTGATCCTCGTCTCTGAAATGGAGCATAAATCTATTAGTTTAGAGTTGTTTTGTTCGAAATATCAGTGACCTAAACAAATTTCCTGTACTCTAGTGATCATCGTCTCTGAAATGGAGCATAAATCTATTATTCTCACAGATTTTTCATGTTATAAATTCAGTTTAAAACAAATGTATATATATATGTGTGTGTGTGTGTGTTCACATACATCCCTAAAGGATTATTATACAGTTTCATGCATACTGATAAAAACACAAGTGTCCAAAAACTAATTTTTAAAAGATGCTTAGTGCAAAGAATACTAATAATAACTTTAATTGGGTAGCACTCCCCATTCCCCCAGTCTGGGCATTTTATACCAGTATGATACAGTTTACAGAACATGCATAGACTGTGTTAAGAAAACAATGATATGAAGGGGAAGATACACTAAAGAAGTAACTGTGCATGCCCGTCAAAGCATCTGTGATTTCATAAAGAAGAGGAGGGAGGAGCAAAGTGAGTTCAATGTAAAACAATTTAATATGCAACAATTCCTGTGTACGTTCAACTTAGTTATAGCAAAAAGGAAAGAAAAAAAATCACTTCCTCTTATACATTTAACATTCAAATAGTAACTCATATTTGAATTTAAAAGGTTTGCAATAAAATTTCTGGGCAGCAATTGAATAAATTGTACTTTTATCACCACACTGGATATTTCTGTGTCCTAACCTTTTCCCCCCATATAGTTATTCTAGTTCAATAAATAAAACCTCATTAGACTATTCCCATTTCAATGAGTTTATTAAATTTTACAGGAGTAATTAGCATAAGCTGTGCTAATTTTTCTGGAAGACTAATGAGAGAGCTTCCTAATTAGGTTTGCTTTGTAAGAATCTGAAAAGATGATAATGAAAAAAGTCACATAGGGTGCAATACAACAGGAAGGAAGAGCCCTATTATTTCTTGATTTGTGAAATATGATTCTGTGTCTTGGCACAGTTTCCAATTTTCCAGCTTAAAAAACAACAACTGACCACTATAGAAACAGATATTTGACAGAGATGTCTCTGCTAGATGTTTAGCTTTTCCCCCTTGGGTGGTGAAATCAAGTACATAGCAGTTCTCTTGGCTAAAATAAATGTGAAAAGTAATTCCTGTTGCCAATGCATATGTGCAGAATAATTGCAGGAGATGTATTTGCACCTAATATACTGGATTATGTTAAATACCTGTACTTTTTATTTTTATTTTATCAAGCCCTTTCTCTAAGGAACCATCTCTCTTCATTTTTATCTTCACGACAACCCTGAGGCAAGTCAAACTGAAAGAAAGTTTACCCCAGTAAACTTCATGACAAAATGAAGACCTGAGCCTTGGTCTCTCTGGTCCTAGTCCACCATTCTACCACACTGGCTTTGTTTGTTTCAGTGTGTGTGTTTGATGTGTATGTGTGCACTCTCATGCGCATTTGTGCACATATAACCCAGAACTGGAAGCATTCCAGATGCATTGTCAAACAGATGCTAAAAATTCATTAGGTTTCTTGGGAAGAGTTGAAAGTAGTATGATGGAGATATTGGTGGTTGCATCCCCCTATTTTGTACAGTAAATAGATTTTGTAGGGTTTGAGGAGCAACGCTCCCTCTAAGCTGTGGAGTCTTCTGAGCAGAAATTCTATTTAGTGAGCTACTGGCACTAAAGTTGTGAGCGAGTGATTTGGGTATCACATAAATCAGTTTGCTCTGGAGCCCTCCTTCCTGAGCTAAGACAAAAATGTGTGAGCCTGGGGCTAAAAAACTGAGCTAGCTCACACTAACTCAGCTTAGAGGGAACACTGGTCAGGAGGCAAAAGAAACAAGAGGAATACTGTCTCTATTATATCACTTTCAGCTCTCTTAAGTGTGATTTCTGTTCCTACTGTACTGATATTTTTCATATCTATGCAGAGGGCAGTGTCTAAGAATCTGATGCTATTTTTAAAAATGAATTCTGATGTGTAGATTCTGAAAATAATTCTACTTTGACTGCTGTATGGGAGTGTGGTGACTAAGTTGCCCCTTTCCAAGGGAGCTGTTGTATGACCACTGCCTCTAGAGCACTGAATTCTAAGAGCTCAGTTTTTCAGTACCTCTTCCTTTTTTTTGCTGAAGCAGCTCGAGAGTCTGACAATTGTCTGTATCTTACGGAGAAGACATAACA